ATGCGCCTGACAGTTGTAATAGTGTTTGTCAATCACAACAACAAAAACACTTCAACCAGAACTTCAACTTTTAATTTGCTACGAAACCTCGTAGTTCCATCCCATTTAGAGTTTATTATTCATAACAATAATAATTGTACATTTAATATTATGAATAAATAAGTTTAGAAACTACATTATGTGATGTTGTATACATGTAAATAAATTGACGCTGTCTAATCGATGGGCGAACGACAAAATGACTATCGCTTGGCGAGCGACAAAGTTACTTTGTCGCTTGGCGAGCGACAAAGTGACACTTTGCGCTTTTATAATACAGCGAAAAATTGTTCTTTCTGTCATGATTGCGAAAAAAATATTTATATTGGATATATTTTTTTTACATAAAAAAAATAAAAGAAAATTCATCTAAAGAACGAGTGCGATAAAATGTCTTATGAAACGTGTTTCTTATTCTATTTTTTCTATTTGGGTTTTTACAAATAAAACAAAATTTAATTTAATAGTAATATACTGATGTGCATAGCTACATATACGTGTAAAACATTAGAAATTAGTGTTTTTGCAGTTTATTTGTTGACAGTATTTACCTATTGACATTTTGAAATCAATCGCGTCTTTTAAATTAAATTGTAATTTAAATTTGTTGCAAAAAATTTGAGGTCTTTAAAATCGAACTTTATGACATCCAAACGAGTGTCATAAAGTAGACTTTATAACATCCAAATAGAAAAAATAAGTTTGCGACCGTGTGTGAGTAAAGATGGCGTAACCAACTCGTTACTTTCTTACACAACGTTTAGGCAAAGCCTATAAGGTTGTATAAGAAAGTATGGTGATGGCAAAAAATTTCGATGTCGATTTTTTAACGGAATTACACGTTTTAGGTGTTTTTAAGTCATTTTAAGCAATTTTTGGAAAAAACAAAAAGTCCGATTAATTTGAAATTTAAAACATAAGCTTTTTAGCCAAAAAGTAAGGACGTATCAACTTTTGGGCAAAATCGGACCACGCATAAAGGTACTTTATTTGAAGCCCTTAAGGGTTTTTTAAAAATATATCAGAAACTAACGCAAATATTTTCACCAAATTTTATATATTGCCTTTTCTTGTTATTATCTAAGATATATATTTTATTTTGAGCAAAATCGGGTTACGCGTAGGAGTAGGAGTATTTGAAGCCCTTAAGGGTTTTTTCAATTATATTGAAAACTAACATAACATTGTCACCAAATTTTTTACTGTACTTTTAATAAGAAAGTCGTGTGCTGTACCACACCAACATTCTTATTGCTTTCTCACAAAAGTGGAAGCAATATTATCCGCACTTTGTCCGTCCGTCTGGGTAAAATTTGTAGACAAGTTTTTTCATAGTAATTTTGAAGCTATCGACATATTTTTTTTTTAAATTAAAGGTACATTATCGAACCAAGCGAAATTATTTGGAATTTCTCAATATCTTGGGAGCTATGTCTACGTCTTTTATGAAAATATAAGTTGAATTTCTACATCAGTTCTGAAAATTCGGAAAAACTTCGGGGAAATTTGGAAAACTTCTGGAAACATCGAAAAAATTTGAAAAACTTTGAAAAACATCAAGAAACTTTGGAAAATCTCCGAAAATTTTCGAAAAATCTTTGGAAAATTTTCGGAAAATTTTTTTTAAATCTTCGACAAACTTAGGAAAACCTCGGAAAAACTTAGATAACTTAAACTTACCGAAAAACTCGGAAAATTTTCGGTAAACTATGGAAACAGTTCGGGAAACTTTGAAAAACATCAAGGAAATTTAAAACATCTTGGATAAACTCGGAAAATTTTCGGGAAATCTTCGGAAAATTTTTGGATAATTTTTTTTTAAATCTTGGGTAAACTTAGAAAAACTTTAAAAAAAACCTCGAGAAAACTTAGATAACTTGATAAACTTACGAAAAAACTAGTGTGAGAAAGCAATTCTTTGTAATCACGAGTGATAACGCGATTTTTTTTGTTTGTGCGAACATAATTCCACTGATTTTATGACACCTATAGACGTGTTCTTAAAAAATCATGTGCAATGCATTATTAACGATACAACTATTGAAATTTATCACCTTGTCTATTAAAATTAATTCCTTAACCTCGTGTTCGCCGCCATGTTTAAATGTCAAAATCAGCTGTTTACTCGTTTACTTTTCCAGACCGTTTATTTTCCAGAAGCAATTTCAGTAAATTGTGCACGACAAGACGCATGCGTAATCGCAATAGTAGTGCTCAAACTAAACGAAGCAAACAAGTAAATTTATAACCGCATATTTGTGCAATTGCAGTATTCATCTGAGTAAATTTTCGACCGTACCCTGTATATACTTTAAATTTGTACCTAACTTCACTCTGCAACAACTTTACGTTTGCGACCTTTGACGACGGCCGACGTTGCGCATGCGCGCACCTAAGCGCACCTGCGACCTGCCATTTGCTTGCAATTTTTCATGAAAAAGATTCCAAAAATCCAAAGTGAAAGTGCTAGAGCATCTGTGAATCGTTTTATATTCTTATTTTTTTATCCGCACGAAGCGCAATTTATGTTAGAATGATATGTTAATATTTTGGCGTTTGTTTGAAATATTTTGCGTTTGTTGTGCATTAATTTTGCGTTGGTTATACTCCTATATTGATTTTGCGTTTGTTGTGTATTAATTTTGCCATTGTCGTGTTACTGCTTCTTTCGCACATTGTCTGCTGTGTGCTTGAAGTTGGGCATGAGTGCAGTAAATAGAAGCAGGACTGGCTATGTGCCATTTAACTTTTGCAGAGACTTTCAAAGGGGTGTGTGCACGAGGGGCCCTAACTGCCGTTTTGTACATGTTTCGGCAGCGGAGCAGAGAATTGCAACCCGAAACGATCAGGCAACCAGAGATATCGCAATTGAGATCCGTCGCGCAATAAATGTTCGACCTCTATGTAATGACTTTGTTCGTGGCGTATGTAGAAAAGGCGAGGGCTGCCTAAACCGACATCGTCGGCCAGACGAACATTTTGAGCCGTTGGTGTGTCCGCTCTGCCTAGACCGTATTTACAAGGGTTTCTTGAGGTGCTTTGAGGCCTGCCACCATGTGGTATGCTGGCAGTGTTCTCAACACCTCCGTAACATCTGCCCTAAGTGCAGACAGTCGTCACAAATATTAGAGTTATATGCTTAATTACTTAAATCTTACATTTAATTTAAATAAAACTTTCTTGATGTGGATGAGTTTTAATCTTTTTTGATGCACTGTGAAATTAATTCTTTTTCATTTTGTAAACATTGCTAGCTGGTAGCGTAATTTGAAGCATAACTGGATTTTATGGACAGACGATACAGGACAGGTATTAACAACACCATACATTAGAGTAGAGGGTATTGCAATTGGGTTGTGCTAAAAAATTACGCATATAGATAAAAAAAATTTCCTAAAATTAACCGAAAGATATTCTTGTCCTTTAGAAAGGGTTAATAATCAGTGTGGTAGTACACATTATTATAAAGTAAATTAAGTGCTGTTTTTATTATAGGCACTTGAAGGACTTTGTGTTAAGTTTACCCCTTGAATGTAAATTGGATCTATGGAACTAATTTTGAAGCAATTAACTCTTACTAGAAAATACTTTTGAAAGGGTGCTTTATCTGTTCACATTTGACCTGCAGAATACTGCTACATCAGGTGTTCAAAAACGTAACTAACAATGTAATTTTAACTACACTTCCTCATTCCAGTAAATGTTAGGAATTTGTCTTTGGGCGAGTTTCTACAAGATTGAGCTTTTGTTGCATCATTGGTTTGATTTCTGGTGTTGACAAGTGCCCACTTTAAGCAGTAGAAGGCAGTTTAGCCGTTCTGTTAGATAGGCTTCCAACTGATTTAGAATTAGAAGTTAAATGAAATTTATGTAATAAACGTGTTTACTCTCAGTTCTCTCGTACACACAGTGCAAATTGTTACCAGAGTAATTTCTGATTTAGACTACAAATTTTATTTAATAAATTGTAATATGCCTATTGTTTTACATTATTTTCACTTGTATTATAGTCTCCCGCTTCATAAATCACTGTTAAACCCGAGGTTATTAAACCATTCCTCTTTGTGTCGCACTGCTTGGGCACTGATAGCTGCTGCTTTGTTTGATTATTCTGTATAAATTTATTGCCACAGTACCTTTTTTTTAACTGATTAATATTAACAGAAATCTGTTTGATAGGCCTTATTGTCATAGTATTAATCATGGAATATATGAAACCTTCAAATGATTCATCTAAAAAAGAAAAATATGTAACTTAAAATTGGATTAGGTGTATTCACTTTCTATAGTCCTTGCTTCAAAGATGATATCACTTTGAGAATCACTTGCTAAGTATATTCGAGATACATGATTGCCAATTCGCTTTGGTAAAAGTGATAAAGCCACATTTGTGTAGCTTCTTTTATGTTCTTTACTTTAAATGCTGTTATTCATTCACATGCCAGCATTAATATCTTGCACAGGATAGACTAAAATTGTGGTCGAATACATATGAGATTCAATAAGAATATTCTTGCAGCACATTTTTTGCGAATTCAAAAGTATTAACATTTGAATTTATGATGTTCCATCTCGGTGGATTATTTATAAAATATGTACTATCAAGGTTCACGGATAATTTTTCTTATGTCAAAATTTATCGATTTAGTCGAGTGTCGAGTTTAGGGGAATTTAAGTTTAGGAGGGATATGCATGTTGTACAGACTACAGATTGACCTGTCACTTTTGTAATCACTCTGGTTATAGTGCGCCATCTTACATTCACACATTCAGATGTAGGTAATACAGGTTTCGTATTATACGCTATTAAATTTCGACGAAATACAAGTTCGACAAAATACAAGTTATACGAAATGCCTGTTAGGTGCTTTTTTTTATACGCAATTTTTTTATATGTAATACAAGTTATACGAAATGCCGGTTAGCTGTTTTAACAGTTATATGCATTGCTTTTTATACGTAATGCAACGGCACGTCCTCATACATAATACATACATTTACTTCGCCATCAATGGTAGTTCCACACGGAGAATATGCAGAAGATGAGTATGTCGAGGAGTATGCGGAATCTTATGCCGAGTCCCAAGAAGTACCAGTAAACCAATTTAATTCCCAATCCATTAATCGTAATGGAAATTATGGTAAGTCAAAAATATTACACAACATTTTGATAATAATTCTGTTTTATAGAAATCAGTGTGATGCACAAAATATTAGAAATGGTAACAGAAATAAAAATTCAAGTCAACGATATTGCCAGAAATATGCAGAGTTTCAAAGTAGACAAGCAGCCCGTTGAACAATACGACATATTTACCAAATGCCTGCCCTTAAATAGTTTTGAAGCGATTGAGAAGTTTGAGGAATTAATAAGCGACCTTGAAATCAACAAATTATTTGTAAGTTAATAATTGCATAATCTTTCTAGTTGAAGGTTCTTAAGTATAGAATATCTGTGAATGTACTGATTGTATTTTTCTACTCATGTTAAATAATATATAGAATGATGCGTTTTCAATTAGGGATAAATTATTCAAACAATGAAATAGTTTTTGATTATTCATCTGTTGTACGCTAATCGTAAAGTAGAAAAGTATTATTTCACTCATTCAAAAAGAAATATTCTTACACTACTCACAAAAACTGTTCGATATGAGTTTTGCGCTCCTGGGAATTAGCCCTATTTGGTAGGAAAGTAATTTGTGACATGATTTCAGTTTTGAAAAATCAAGTCTGCCATTGAACCGTTTTTTGGATGAGAGGCACACACAAATGTTATTATAGAAAGGTTATTCTGATTGAAAAACTTAGTAATGGTGTAAAATTTAAGTCAAATAGGTCTACTTTTGAATTTCTTATGAAATCCTCAATTTTATTTACTACATAGAATATTTTAGATAACATATCAAAATGTTTCTATCTACTTCAAATTTGCTACATGGTCGGTCATTAATTGTTTAATCAACATTTTATGTTCCTCGTCTTTCTACAAGCATTTTTTTACGGACCTTCATTTGCTACAGCCAGCCATCCGCCAAAGTGAAATTAAAAGCTACCTTTTTACAAAATAAATTTGCAAAAATGCGCTAAAAACACTACAAAAATCAAAGTAGGTTTAGAACTTTGAAATTTTGTACGTTTTTTCCAGGAGCGTGGCAAGGTAAAATTGCGCTAGTGCAAAGTTTGTTCGACGCGCCTTTTTTAATAATAATAATAACAATAATAATAATGTGGTCTTTGCACATTTTTTTATTATAAATAATACTGTACTTCTTAAATATATAAATACAGATTTTGCATACTTTTTATTTAAAAAAATGTTTGACTAAATATTTATTTAAAATTAATTTTTCTAGCTTTAACTTTAGCAAATTCACTATACTTATTTTACAATTATTATATTACTTATTTACGATCAATCCTGACTCAAGTGCACTTAAAATTGCAAAATAAAAACTTTGTAAAATACTTTTGTATAATTTTTATTTTAAAAAATCTTAGGACTTTTTGGCGCCTAGCAAAATTTGGCGCCTAGGGCACTTGCCCGGTTGCCCTACTGGATGCCACGGCCCTGCGGTTTTTCATTCTAATAAAACTTTTCTTCATTTGTGTGTACTTCGTCTCCTAAGAGCACTTTTGCTAAGTCGTTTTTTGAAAATTTCAAAACTGAAGTTATGCCATAATGAGTTTCCAAACAAACCAGGCTGATCCCCAGATGCTCAAAATTCATTTCCAAACAATCCTGTATATATAATTTTAATGCTAATAATTGTTTATTTCAGAAAACATTTTTAACTACAATTGGTGGAAATGATTACAAAGATAATATAAACCGAGTTTATAAAATACTGTTTACAAATGAATTGGGAATGGGTTGTTCCTGGTTGGGCCAGCGAAATAACAAGCGTATGGTAGACTTAAAAATTATTGCTGCTGTTAAAGGTAAATATTTTAGCAAACTTTAACCTTTTATGTTGTATAGCGCATTTACATTAAATCCCTTAGAAATAATAATAAGGTCATTGCTACTCTCATCATGATTAGTTGTCCTTCATAAAGTGCTCATGATATACCTATTGATACGCTATTTACATCCAGAAAAATGTATTTTTGCAATGATGACCATGAGTGTGTTGGTGTGTTTGTGAATGTGTTTACTCCAAAACGAATATAATGATCGGAGGAGTAGTCTCATCTTTTATCTCTGAATATTATGAAGAGCGCGTTTTTTCCATTCAATAAGGCATATGGACATTTTTGGGAAAATAAGTTTGAAACTTTTTAAAGGCATTTGCATTGCACAAATCTATCTTTGCGAGACACTACGTAATTAAAAAAAAATTTTTTTTCTTAAATTTGCAAAAAATGCGCTTTCATTCTTGTATGAGATATTTCATAATAAAAGACAATTTTTTGGCTTAAATTTAAGCACTGTCTGCATCTATTTGCATCATTCCTCACATAACCATGTCTTCTTTCATGAAATGTTTTTCTTGTTGTTAATAATAGAATTTTATTCTAGAAATAATCATTGGACAACACAACATTCAACAAAAACTTATAGAAAATTGTTCGTCAGAGTGGTTTCGGCATGCGCGCCAACGTTATCAGCGAGAAAAAAAATGAAACTTACTTTTTCATCTATTTGTCCTCACTTTTATTTACTAGTTCATATAATATCATACATGTTTGACCAATAAATGCGTTTTTGAGATAAATAGAATTTTATTACCCTGTGTATATATCAAATACATCATTCTATTATATGCAGGCAATGTTTTGGGAGAATGTAATGTAGACAGCACTTTACAATGTCGCAAGTATGTTACATACTGATGTAATTAATATGTGAAAGTGTTTAAGTAAAAAATATCGCCTTGTATTATACCTGAGATATACCAGAGTAATGTAGCAGGTACATGATTTTCCAAGTGATTTGTTGCTGACATTGAGTAGTCCCACAATAGCACATGTAAGTTCCATGGTATGTAACAGATAACATTGACATAATTAATTTTATGTAACAGTTATATACATGTGCTGTGACTGTGTAGACTGGGTTTGTATTACATACATACTTTATTTTTTTAATGCACTTATCAATTCACGTAATAAGTTCATTTTTTCTTTATGCCTGGTGGCAGCATCACTCCTGTAGCGTTTTAACCATTCTAGTTCATTGTTAAATGATGAACCTGAACTCCGTTTTCTTTGAGGATGCGGGAGTGTTGCTTGCAACATCCTAATAAAGTGTTTCAGTTATGTAATTCTGAAGGTTAAACTACTTACATCACTCCGGCTTGAAGCACGTGAGGATTCTCCCGATACATCGTCAGAGTGTGTGACCCCTGAAGAACTACTTGCAATGCATAGTGGATTAACATCTGCATCTGTTGCAAACATTTCTTCGAATATGGTAAAATACGGCCAACTATATGTCCCTCTACCAGTCTTGCTATTAGAATCTTTGATTCGTTTATAAGTCTTCTTTAGATTTCGAAATTTTAAGTCGCATTGGTCTCCGGTCACTGACATACCTTTTTCACAGAATGTTTTCGCAATTAAAGCCCAAATTGACTTGTTGGTTTTTTTTGATGATCTAAACATTTCCAACTTTTCGCGATAGAGTTCTAATAACAATTTTACGCCCCGCTCTGTCCACTTACAACCGGAGTCATTGTTAGTGGGTTCTTCTGCAAACATTTATTATGTTTGTAGGTAATCATTTGCACAAGTTAAATTAAAATAGCATACCTTCTGCAGCCACTTCTTCTGTTTCTTCGTCATTGAGATGTTCCACTTCTAAGTGTTGCACAACTGCAGCATAAGTACCTTCAAAACTGCAAACAGAGCAAGTAGCTCCTGACGTATGATTTTCCATCTGAAATTGCGAAACGACACCACACGCGGTAATAACAACAAGAAATGATAGGTTATGTGCGTTGGTTACTCGCATTTACCGCCAAACTGAGATGGTAGATAAAACGTTAACCTGGTACGTGCACCGGGTACATTGGTCACTATTTCCAAACGCGGTTTATTCTAACCTGTTACAATTTCGAACGCTGACGGTACAACGGTTAAGCACCTGGTTAATTTTCGTAAATGCCTAATATAACCTTACAAAACATTCGCATAACCTCATTTATTCGTTTCTGTCTTATCATTATTTCCTGCGGCCTTTTCTAGTTTTCTCATTGCATATTCCCATTTATCTTTCACGTTCCACCTTATTTCCTTTTGCATTTTTTGAATACCCTGTCTTTAACCTTTATACCAAACAGTTTTTTTTAAAACTAAACTGTACACAATCCTTCTTGCTCAAGTAAGTATTATGTAAAAAGAAGGTTACATTATGATTGATTCTGTTCATTATAGGAGGCATTACAATGCCAAAGTGTTATTACAAGGATTGCAACAACACCTCAAAGTCTAAAAGGTGTCGCAATCTCCGTTATCATCCGTTCCATAAACCACTGCGGAATATGGCGAAGAGCTTATTATGGATTGAACTATGTGGAAACAACAATCTAAACCCATCTAATATTACTAAGAATGTGTATATTTGTGAGCAGCATTTTGCTACAAGGGAATCAGAAAATCCAGAACCGCATCAAAGCTACTTGACTAACCCTCTACTACGTCTAAATAGTTTGGATATTCAAAGTTTCATCGAAGTCGGCTCAGGTTCCCAAGAAGATAATGTGAATCTGGAAAGGGCATTGGCTAATGTAAATGTTGGAAGTGGAGATCACAGTGATCACACATACACTAAACGATCAACTAGCAACTATCATCATACTGCCACCCAAACAGCTCCAGAACCCGTGGATGTGAAGTGCAAAAATGTGTCGGAAGTTGAAGCAGTTTCAAAATTGTTTCTTGTTCTCAGAATTCCAGCACAGCAAGAATTTTCAGTATTTCACTGGATTGACGTTACCACTGTTTGAGGCGTTATTTAATTTCTTGGATGAAAATGTAATGTCAACATTAATGTACAATCATAAAAGTTATGCACTAAGAACCAAATGTATGCAACTGTCCAACAAAGATGAACTGTGTTTAGTGCTAATTCGTTTAAGAAGAGGTTATACCCTGAAAGAATTATCTATATTTTATAACATGAGTGTCACCCAAGTGTCGGCAATATTTTATACGTGAGTGCAATTTGTTTATTTACAAACGTGTGTTCTGCGCAATGCTTTCATGAAAGGTGCTCGTGCCACTGATATAAGACACATGCCTGCTTGTTTTCGCCTACTTAATGACAAAGTGACCGTAGTTCTGGATACCACTGAAGTCCGGATGCAGATGTCCAAAAATTTTCAGCAACAAGGAAACACCCATTCCAGCTACAAGCACTACAATACGATCAAGTTTTTAGTGGGAGTATCTTCAAGAGGGGCAGTTGTATACAACAGTGAGGGTTACGAGGGGTCCATTTCGGACATCGAACTATTTAAGTCGTCAGACATTTCTGTATTTTTGGAAGAAGACGATGTGCTTATGGCTGATCGTAGTTTTACCATTCAAGACATTTGTGATGAGCACAAATATAAATTAATCATTCCACCTTTCCTGGCTGGCAGGACAAGATTAACAGCGGAAGAAGAAATACTAACAAAGAAAATTGCAAAGTGTCGTATTACTGTAGAGCGCTCCATCAGACGAATAAAAAGCTACCAAATTTTAGCAAAACCAGTGCAAATTTCAATGTTACCCATTATGTCCAATATATTTAGTATAATTTGTTTTTTGGTAACTTTGAAAAACCAGTTTTAACATAATTTTATTATGGGTTGAATGCCCATCATACACCACAAACACAGGTCTACTATCACCGAGATTGGGAATAAAATTTTTTAAAAAGTAATTTCTAAAGATGGTTGTTTCCATCCACCCATTTACACTTGCTGCATATGCAGTTCCAGGATATCCTTTTCCATCTTCAGCGATCCATGTATCCCAGACATTTTTCCCTTTATACACAATGAGGGGTGGTGCCTTCTCTCCGCTGGCCGAAGCCGCAAATAAAACTGTTGTATTGTTACGCCCTGAGCCAGCCGTTATTCTTGTTGACGATACACCTTTCACTCCTACAACCTTCGTTCTCGATGGATCAGTGCAAAAACTTGTTTCGTCCATATTCCAAATCTTTGCCGGAGCATCAATCAATTTCAAATCATTTAAAGTCTTTTCCAATAATTGAAAATATTCACTAATTACAAATGGGTCAGTATTCTTTTTTCTAGCGTATTTCACAATTTCTGGCTTTTTAATTGACAAATTGTGCCTCTTTTTGAACTCTAGGAACCAATCTCCACTTGGCACATTATTTTTAAATGGAGTAGAAATCTTATTTTTTGCAATATATTGACCGACAATCTCCAAGAGCTCCTTTCTACTGATGCCGAACCGAAGCCCCATTTTTCCATGCACCTACAATTAAATATCACCAATTACTTCGTCATGACACAGACTAATAAAAGCATACTTTATATATTTTACCAGAGTTTCCTCGTCTTTATGAGTGAGAGCTGTGGGTCTTCCCATGGTTTTGCTTTTTACACCGCGTCTACCCTTTAAATGATCTCTTATCGTACTTCTGGGTATTTTATATATTTTACTGGCACGCAAAGTGCCACATTCACCGGCATTTATCGCTGTTAGAGCTTTTTGTAAGTCGTCCTTAGAATAACTAGCCTTGTCTGTTTTTCTTTGATATGTCCTCACCATGACCTAAAAATTGTTTTAGGTAATTAAATTAATTAAATCAATATGTAAGGGGCAAATGCACCAGCGGAGAAAGTGCACCCCTAGGTGCACTTGCCTCAATTTGTGCGGTGCACTTTCCCCTACCTCAGTAGGTGCAGTTTCCTGTTTCCCTTTCTTCAGAAAATGAGGGGCAAGTGCACCCACACGTCTTATAGATTATGGTTTTTATAATATAAAACCAAATTGGGAAAAATCGATTAATTGATGCACAATGATGTAAGAAAACAAGCAGAAATATTTTACTTACCGCTTGTGTTGAAATAAATTCAGTAAAATCACAACAAAACACGTTTTGCAACGCAGTACAATCAGCTGTTGATCATTCGCGGAAACACGCAATTGGTATGAAGTTAGCTATAAAAGTTCTTTGGCGTGTCCAACGTTGCCAAGTGTCAAAAGAAACATAATGTAATATATCAAACATGATATTTAAATATACACCCCAAATAAAATGCAAAGACGCACTTGCCCCAAAAACGCACTTACCCCACTTCACCCTAATTGAAAAATATTTGCACATTTTTAAGGTTTCAATAATATTTGATTTTACTTTTTCTCCTATTAGGAAAATTAATTCATTTTGAATTTTATCGCCTAAGTAATGTGGCATGTTTTTGTTATCATTTTGAACCCTATTAATATGTTCGGCCATTACGTTATCAAATTTTGCAATTGTCTCAATAAGCTTCAAGAAATTGCCGTTACCTTTTTCAAAAAGTGTTTGAGTATTGCCCCTAAAAGCTAAATTTTGTCCTGCCAAAAACTGAATAACAGCTACTATTCTTTCTAAAATAAAAGTCCATCTTTTTTTTCCATTTGAATTAAATTTTGATTAAAAGAGTCGACAGTTAATCCTTTTTCTATTGATTTTTTTAACTCGACCCATTTTCTAACACTCTCAAAATTCCCTTTACTTATTTCATGTCTTTCTAAAGTC